ACGTAAACTTGTGTGTGAATGAGAACTTAGTTTAGTACTCACATGCTGTGACAGCCACTTCCTGTACGTGTGCTTCCGATGTGTGCGCTTAGAAAACCGTATATCAGAAGTTTAATTGTAAAAAGGGGCATAATATGTCTCCTTTAACATATACATAATATTATATATTTATAAATATAATATATATGAAAAACATGTTAAAAACCCCAAAATTATTTTTTAAGAAATTTATATTTTTATTTAGCAAGCATGTATTAAATTGATCAAAGGTTACATAAAGACTTAATTAGAAAATATACTAAAATAGAAAAGTTATTTCAAAATTAATTTTCATTTTATATTATAAGTTGCAATAAAATTTCCCAATATTAATGTTTTATTGTATTTTTGATTAAATAAAAGCAGCCGTGGTGAGCATAAGAGACTTCTTTCAAAAACATAAAAAAATCTTACCAACCCCAAACTTTTGAACGGTAGTGTGTATTCCAATTAATTACAAATGTCATAATATGAATATTAGTCTAAGGTAGTGACATTCATAACTAACTGAATGTACATGAAATAATATTATAGCTACTGCTATTATTGAAAATAATTGCAAAAGTGTTAGCCATTCATCTACTGGAGTTCCAAATATATTTTTATAGAGGGTGTAAAGAACCCTTTATAGGACATTATTTCATATTTGTTTGACTAAAACTTGCCATCTATGATATGACATAACTCTGCACAGCGTCTTCTATATGTTAACCATGGAATAAAAGAAGGCCCCTTTGATAAATAGGTGCTAGTCTTGTTAGGACAGCTCTTAAGCCGGGAAGTGTATTTGAAAATAACTTTAGTATATTGTGGGTAGTTAAAATGTGTAAGATATATTAAGTAGACAACAAAAGCTTACATATGGATAGTGTCAACATGTGAATGCACAGCATACATACACATGCTATGACCTGTAGACCAGCACATGAGCAAAAAGATGTAAAGAAAAGGTCTCCTGCATGTCCTGTCTAAGAGTAAAATACTTGTATTTTATTTTACTTATAAGAGATTTGTGTGATTTATATATGTGATTATTTAATGTGATACCCAACTTGATGACAGCGAGTTGGGTATCAGATTTGTTTAAAACAGATTCTTATTTTCTTTTTTTAAGATTTGTTTTTGGCATTTTTACCTTTATTTAGATAGGACAGTGTAACAACAGGAAGCGAAGTGGGAGAGAGAGAGGGGCGGGATTGGGAAAGGTCCACGAGCCGGGATTCAAACTCGGGACACCAGCAGTGCAATGGCGGTTGCACATCTGTTTCACAGATTGCTGTTCTCTAATGGAAACAAAATGCATTTTAATTTTTCTTTTTTTACTTAATATATATACTATTGTATTAACATCCAATGACCATTTTAGGATTTTTATTGCCTTTCTTGAATTTGTTCCTTGTTAATGTTTAACATTATATAAGAAGCATAAATATTAGCCTAGGAGACAATATAAGTTGGATAAGCCATAATTTGTACTTTAATATGTACTTATTTGTAGATAGATTTTTATGTATGACTTGTACCTTCAGTATTGTTAAAGATGGAGGATTGAGGATTCATTTCTAACATGTAATATTAGAACATAGTGTCCATTGTTATCAATGGTTCCCTGTCATGAAAAGCTAACTAAAGATTACATTTTTTATTATTAGAAGTGAAGACATGTTTGAAGTAGAGCTTTTGTTGGCTTCAATAATGTCATTGTGTTGTGGCCCCAAGCACCGCCAACTCTGCACAATACAGGGACACAAAGTTTGTAGAAGAACTTCACTGACCTCTAAAGGATGTGGTGCCTTAATATCCACTTGCACTAACTTCCAATCTGTTGTCGCATACACATCAGGCCTCCATATCTCATCATAGTGGCCCAGCTGGTCCTTAGTGAAGACTGAGAAGAAATTCCCAATGGCTTGGTCCCTTTGATAGTAAAAGGACAAGCACCCTGCCATTGAAGTGATAGTCATTGGCGACACCAACTTGGCCACCTCCTGGAACCTTTTAGCATAAACTGAGTCCACATACATGTAGTGACCTAGTTCAGAGTGGAAAAATAAAACAAAGAATGGATTCACAAATCACATTCCTCAGGGTGAGAGAGTAAGCAAGTTCCAAACCAGGAGAATTGTGGGTTGTGAAAAGCTATGGTCACGTTGGTATGATTCATTCCAGTTCTTGACCTATTGTGCAGTATGAAGCTATTCTGTCAGTCTGTGTTACCTCTCTCATTGTTCATGGTGTGGTCATCTGGAAGGTTTGACTGAGGGTCCCGGGCCAAACTCCCACCCACATACCAGTTCACATTGGGATTCCACTGATTACTGTAGCCACACAAGTGGTGCTCCTCAAAGTTGCACTCTAAAACAGACATTAAACATTATTATTATTTAAAGGGGTCATATGATGCGATTAAAATTTTTCCTTTCTCTTTGGAGTGTTACAAGCTCTTGGTGCATAAAGAAGATCTGTAAAGTTGCAAAGACTAAAGTCTCGCATAGAGGAGAAACAATAATGTACAGTATGTGGAAAATAATGTGTTTTTTTAACCTTTAACCGCATAAACACATTTCATTACACCAAATACACAAAATTATGTTCTTTTTAGCAACATCATATGACCCCTTTAAGACTTTTCATTGTTGTTTTGGGGAGGAAAGTATAATTGCATTAGCACAGTGGTTCTCAATGAGTTAAAAACGGAGGCATTGCAAGGTGCATCTATTGTGGACCACAGACATGAGACCCAATGAGGATTATGTGAAGTTTCTTTTTTTTTCAGGTGTGCCAGATTTTGAGCGAACAAACAATTTAATTATATTTAAATTAAAATTAATTATAACACAAATCAATCAAATAGCTTCAGAAGACTTGGAAAGCACAAAGCAGCACATAAATGATATGGACTGTTGTTATTGTACTTTTAGAATTAAAGGTGGAGTAAGCGATTTTTCAAAAACACTTTAGAAAACTGATTCGGGCCAAATAGCAAAACAAACTTGTAGCCAATCAGCAGTAAGGGGTGTGTCTACTCATGATGTGGAGGAGAGAGCGTTCAGTGCACAGAATGGGCATTAGCTGAGTCGAGCGACGAGAGAAAGATAGAGATGGCGGATAAAAAACTAAAGAGGAAAGTGTCTGCGGAACAAAAGAAGGCTTAAGGCAATAAGGCAAGAAGTAGGACCGTGTAAATATCGGATCTCAAGGAGCGGAAGGACTGCGATCGGATGCCGAGGTTGCTTTGTTTCTTCTCGATAGGTGAGTAACACCGTGTCTGCGCCGCAACAACTGAAGTCTGTCTAGTACACTGGACGCGACAAAGCGACCATTGAAAATCATTTGAAATTTGTGTCAATACGTCATGAATAGAACGCAGCAGCAGTTTTCTGAACGCTAGACAGCATCTCTGATTATGAGTTCTATAGTATTTTGTCTCGCCGCACCACTCGCATCCGGTGTAGACACAGTGTAACATTGGTTTTGCTTTGTTTCACAGAACTAATCGTTGCCTGGGTTGCGTACATATGTGTGGGGCGGAGCTATCAAAATAGGGGCGAGACCCTTTTGGGGTAGGGGTGTGTTTGTTTTGGTGATTTCAAATGTCAACATTGGCTACCAGAAATCACTTACCCCACCTTTAAAATGTCAAATGGGTTTGGAACAACATGAGGGTGAGGAAAAGTCAGGGTTTTTATTATGGCAAACTATTCTTTTTATATTGCTCCTACAAGGCAGTATCACTTTTTTATTTATTAACCTACTTACATTAATTCCAATCATTTTGCATTATATAGAATATATTGACAAAGATTTCATTTGATTCGATTTTAACAGATTAAGTGAAATGAATATGTAATAATGCACATATTTCGCAAAATGTTCATCTCTAGAGTTACTTTTGTTCTAACTAATTAACGTGTTTATGGACATTAAATGCCTTTCCTGCGGTAAGTTTAACCTCAAGTGACATTGTTTACAAGCTTTTGTATTCATGTTTTATTTTGCGGTTGAAACACTGATTGAGCGTTTACATCCAACTTGATACATTTCATTAAGTTTTACTGTTTCTTTCATCATACCCTCTGATGTTCATTCATGTTTATTTTGTACTGTAAAAAAATGTTATAGCGATCTGTCACGCCACATTAAGGAGCTTCAAAACAACATTTATCATTTTAATTTAGTGAAAGCTGAGACTTTGTTTCTTATCAGAAGTTACAAAGAACAAAGCTTATTGCAATTATTGGATGGGAGGCACACAACAAATATTTTTTCCTTATTAAAGAATCAAGGATGCTGTGGTCAACAATATGTGTACCCCAAGTATAATAAGAGGACTTACCTATACAGTATCCAGGGATGATGTGTATTTCAAAAAGAGCAATGCTATTTCCCATTCCTCTTCTGGGTTTAGCGTCAAATAATAGCTGAAAATCAAGAGGTGATAAACAAAGAGAAGTGAAACTATTTGGGCTGTAACATCTATTCAGCTGACAAAAACACTTATTATCTAAAGCCTAGAAATCTAACTCATCTTCACTCTCTTTCAGTGACTCATTAAATCAAACACAGTTTTAGTTTTAAACAGTCTAAATTTAGAGTAAATATAATATCAGACTAGAAAGTCAAAACTAGTGTAATGAATTTACTTTTTTCCAATCATAATTCATACAGTAACAACTGTTATTAAACAAAGTCCATCTCTATTCCTTTGTTTACAAAGACAAAGTATTACACTGTCTCTTTCCAAATGTAATTCCCAGAAACTGAGCATTACTACTAGCATAGTAAAACAGCACAAGTGCTTGTCTGATCAAGAGAGAGGCGTATCCACTGTAGTATTATTAACAAAGGGCTCTTTTCTTCTCTCAGCTCCACTCAAACCCTCTTAAGCTAACAGTCTACTATGAAGAGTCTTGACTACATTATATCACATACACAACCCCCTTGTTTCCCCACTTTTCATTTAAACACAGGAGTGACTGTGCCATGTCAGGCAGATACCTGGTAAGCCCCAGACATATTGCGGATGTCCACACTGGCAATGAGCCAACTGTCTGAGGGTTTGTCCGCCGTCCATAAAGTGTAGTCAAAGTTCTCACCCTCGGGTCGTAAGTGCAGTTGAAGAGAGCCTGAGCCTGAGATCTGATAGACCAACCGCACACAGCTCCAGTCTCTGAGCTCAAGCTCTGGGCTGACTAGGACATACTTCTCTTTCTCACCAAAAGATGAGGACTCCGCTATGATGAAGCGGCCTGAAAGAATCAGAAGAGACATAATGGTGAGAATATTTGCGCAGAAACACAAGTGCATTACATCATAAGTCTAAGAGAACAAAAATTTAAAAGAAGCTTATTATTACTGATTGTTTAAACATTCAGTTGTGTAATTTTTATTGGAGGCTATAACAATGCATCTGGAATTTCCGAAGCCAAACCTGTCAAGTGACAAAGGGTCCCACAGGGTCATCAGTAATGTACAGAAACGTAAAAGACAAAGTAAACGAAATAAATGGTAGACTGTTTCACCATTTTAAACTGTGTGCCTAAAAACGGTTGTGAATTGTATCAGGCTCTCCAAAATAAAGTGCAAGCAATTACAGCAAACAAAGACTCATGGGAGACTCAAGTGTTAATTTAACAGTCCATTTAATCTTCTGACTTCAACAGACCGACTGTTTAGAGCACAGAAATAGGTTACGTTCACATTTAAACAGTTTATTAAAGAAGAAATATCAGCTGTCAGATGTAAAGTAATCATATATGTTGTGAACGTATCCAGTTTCCTCTTGTTTAATATGCATCAAACCTTGACATGATGTAAGAGTGTGTTTGCTGCCGTTAGCTTCAGTGATCTCTGATAGCTCCAGATGTTCACATGATGATTCATTCCAGGTGCCAGATGAAAAAAAAAACAAGTCTTTTTTCTCTTTTCTTTATGACCTCTTATAAAAACACACTTATTTTCTGCACTTTGGTTTGGCCCTCTTTTGAGATCTCATATATTTAGTCCATGAGCGAATACCAATCATTAATATCCCACTTCTCCGGCCATAACATCAGCTTCTGAGGTAGGTGAAGTCATGTCTTTGGTAAGGTCCCCATTTTGTGGAATGATTCACAATAAACCACAAAGCAGAGTGTTAACAACCCACAGTCATTGTATTAGCATAGTCACAAGGTCAACATACAGCTGAACATTTAAAACTAACATAGGACAACATACTTCACAACCACAATATATCTAATGGGACGAAGAGCTGACATCAATGACCTACATGACTAATTATACACTGTAAAAAGGTTCCAGGAAATGTTTCTGTAACTAGTTGCAGAGACTTTTAAAGTTTAAAAATTCATTAACATTAGGGTCTCAACTGTGCAAAACTTATTTTCCAGGTAAACAGATGCTTGTTTTCTCCCTGACAATTCTTATTTATGGACACAAACACCAAAACATGTCTTCTTTGATGACGTGTGTACCATCGTGAAGGCAGGATAAAAAATCCCTCCTCTCCAGAAACCTGTCACCCACACACTGTAAAAAAAATTCCGTTAAATTTACGGTAAAAAAAACCAGCAGCTGAGGTTGCCGGAATTTTACCATAAAAAATACGGTAGCAATGTTTTAGGAAAACGTTTTGTAAACTTAAATTTACAGTTAAATACCGTAATTTCATTAACTGATATAATGTTAATATACCAACCTATTGAAGTACTGAAATCTGTTTTGTACTTTTGTAATACACTGATAACCACCAAATGCAGGTGGTGATGAGAAAGTCACATGATGAATCACAAGCAGCAGTTTTTAAATATTAACATATATAGAAGGTGCACAGTGTCATTCACACAAACACCAAACACCATCATGGTAACACACATGAAACTGAAATAATGCAATAAACATTCATTAACAACATTAGGTGTAACGCACAACCCTAATATACAAAACTGATAAGAAAAAACTAAGAAGAAACATAGTTATTTCAACAAAAAAACATCAAATTTGAAATGTAATGCAGGGAATTCTGGGAATGTCAATTTGCGGTTATTCACTGTAAATTATACGTTTTTTTTCACTTCCAAAAACGGTATACTACCGTAAAATTAATGTCCAATACATGTAATGTCCAATATAGTTTTTCACTGTATATAGTAGGGGAATTTACCGTTAACCATTTAACAGATTTTTACTGTAGCATTTTTACAGTCTTTTACCGTTAAATTCACGGTCATTTTTTACAGTGCATGACAAGCAATCAAGAAACTGTAAAACAACAGCCTGTCTTGCTATCCAACTGACCAACTAAAAATGTAATGCACATTTATGAGCTGAGTGTACAGAGTATGCGCAGTCATAAATTTCTGGTTGTACATGTACACACTACAGTGTAAAAAAGTTGTAAATAAATATTGGAAAATAAAGATTATTAGAGTATGTTTTACAAGAACACACTATTTCAGTCTTTCTCCTTCAAAATTTCATGTTTAATTCAATGTTTTATGTGCTTATGTTTTATCTTTGTAGATTGTAATTGTGTAATTGTGAAATTAACTAGCAATTAATAGAAATTGATTTCTGAGTAAAAATAGTTTCTACCAATTTGTTTTTCAGTCTGTGATGATGCATTGTACGTCACACATTTATGTATACTCTAGCGTATGCGTAATAAATGAAGAATACTTTGGGATTAGCAAAGCATTCTCATAAAAACCAAAGTTTGGTCACATTATAGAGGCTATTGGATAATATAAAAATATTACAGATCTGTAACAAGCCATACAGCAATAGCATTTTTAGTGGCAATAATAAGCAGAGGGGTAATTTAGCACAGAAATATGTCAAGGATAAAGTGCAGTTCTTGCTACATACTCACAACTCACTGCAGCAGCTGGAAGTAATCCATTTACTTCTGAGGCTTGAAGGGTTAAAATGTGGAGGTGAACTCTGTGAATGTCTGCTGTACATCTCCAAAGGCCTAAAATGATTTCTACAGCTGTCTGAAAATGGCTTCAGAAACAAGGTCACCAGCTCTCCTTTCTTTCTCATAATTTCCATCTCTTTATCTCAACTCCTTCTGGAAATGTTTTCTTACATAATTTTTGGCTGCATGTATATGTAATAGATAAATACAGTGAATACTCTAAATGGTTTTCTGAATTATCTTCAGTGTAGCAGAGAGTGGGCATTTGATAAACAGTAACATACATTTCTGGCAAATGTCTGAATCCATTCATTACACATTTAGCAAAGTGCTTCCATTTTCCTAAAACTAAGAAGTCTGTCTCTGCTGTGTTTCCACTACAAAGTCCGTGTTGTCCAGGAAACCAAACAGAGACACAAATGTGTTGCCCGTCTTGTTTTATTGACCTGTGGGGGGAAAACTCACTTCACAAGCAAAAGGTTGAGACAGTTGTCAACCAGACAACTGCCCGACGTATGTTCACTGGATTATACTTCCTTCATCATACTTTGGTTAACAGTCATTCAGAAGCATACTCTGTATTCCCCACAACAGCTGAACCCATCCAGTTGTTCACAAACCATCATAGTTTTTGGCAGAGAACAAAAACAAAAGTTAAGCAATGATAACAAAATTATTTTTAGAACAGAGCACAGACGGTTATGGAAAGTGTTCACTGTGCTGAATGCAATATTAAATTCAAAATACAAGAGATATACAAGAAAAAAAATGACCAGCATGACAGCTGTCAGCAGTTATAGAGAGCATGATCTGTGAAACATCTCTGTCCAGATTACATCCTACAGGTCAATTAATAATCTACTGTATGACAACCCTTAGCAGTTGTGTCTTGTCAGAATAAGACCAACAGAGATCGGATCGGAAGTCCTGTTATGTAGAGCAGACAATGAAGTGCAGATGTGCAACCATTAAGCCTTAAACACTGAAGAAAGTAGGGCAGCAATTTTTATATGTCCTTTATATAAATTGATGCATTTCAATACATTCACAGTGCCTTATAACACACCTGTTCAGTATAAAAGTTGTGTGCCATTCAGAATTGAATTGGGAATGTCTTAAATGTCTTTAAAGATGTAAGATTGATAAATGGTGGTTGCAGGTGCAATTAGTACGAACGTAGAAATGTTGATGGTTTTTATTTGTCACAGTAGTGTCAGTGTTATTCTGACAACCAAACACTTTTAGGGTAGAAAAAGAATAACTGGCAAATCAGTACTTCAAATAAATGTGCTTGAGCCCCTAAAAATTCAGAAAGTCATACCTTCCTGGTTGATGGTCCAGGCAGCATAAGCGGGATCAGACGTGTAGCCGCAGCTGTCCGACTCAAAACTGCAGGAGCCCCGCAAAAGCTGCGTCTGAGCCCGCACTAGAAGAGCGACTGCTGGGGATGAAATTACATCAGATAAACACTAAACTATAACGCCACAGCAAGACTTAAAGACGTTTAAAGTGCTCTATTAGCGGACATAACTGTGCAAAAAGTCCATTCAGCAACGAAGTCTACGTTGATGCAATTGGATGCAAAAATTAAATCTGCACAAATGCACAGAAGCATGCAAACGAATTAAACCAAATGCCCCATTAGGAAAAAGTGATGACCTACCCAGAAGGGTTGAGAAGTGAAGCAAACTCATGGCTGAAGTTGCAGGGATGCTGGAGTGGACGTGTGATGGTCCACTAACGCAGATTGCGTACGGCAGCTCTGCGACCGCTGCATTCACTCTCCATGCTTTGACTCTGGCAGAGCTGAACAGACAGTGGGAGGAGGGAGTGGTTGTTGGAGTTTCTATTTCAGAACAGGCAATGGAACTCCTTTAGGTAAGGAGTTTGCCGCTGTGTAAGCGTCTGCAGAAATGACATACTTCTTACTCATCGCTGACAGAGGACTTAATCACAGCTTTGATGGCGTTAAATCACTCTAATAGTCCGTTTAGTGTAGAGATCATTGATTAAATTATGTTAAACAACAGAGTGACTTCTGAATTGCATGTTTAATAACTGAATGCAATTGCTGGTTTACTTAGTAAATGTTAGTGATTTTAATTTAATGGAATAATATTTTAGTTAAGTTGTGTATATGTTTAAACAGTGTTTAATATATTTAAATAAAATGAAACTGTTTTAGAATATATCACAAACAAGTCAACATAATATACTCATATAGGCTAGGCCTATATATAGGGATCAGACGTGTAGCCGCAGCTGTCCGACTCAAAACTGCAGGAGCCCCGCAAAAGCTGCGTCTGAGCCCGCACTAGAAGAGCGACTGCTGGGGATGAAATTACATCAGATAAACACTAAACTATAACGCCACAGCAAGACTTAAAGACGTTTAAAGTGCTCTATTAGCGGACATAACTGTGCAAAAAGTCCATTCAGCAACGAAGTCTACGTTGATGCAATTGGATGCAAAAATTAAATCTGCACAAATGCACAGAAGCATGCAAACGAATTAAACCAAATGCCCCATTAGGAAAAAGTGATGACCTACCCAGAAGGGTTGAGAAGTGAAGCAAACTCATGGCTGAAGTTGCAGGGATGCTGGAGTGGACGTGTGATGGTCCACTAACGCAGATTGCGTACGGCAGCTCTGCGACCGCTGCATTCACTCTCCATGCTTTGACTCTGGCAGAGCTGAACAGACAGTGGGAGGAGGGAGTGGTTGTTGGAGTTTCTATTTCAGAACAGGCAATGGAACTCCTTTAGGTAAGGAGTTTGCCGCTGTGTAAGCGTCTGCAGAAATGACATACTTCTTACTCATCGCTGACAGAGGACTTAATCACAGCTTTGATGGCGTTAAATCACTCTAATAGTCCGTTTAGTGTAGAGATCATTGATTAAATTATGTTAAACAACAGAGTGACTTCTGAATTGCATGTTTAATAACTGAATGCAATTGCTGGTTTACTTAGTAAATGTTAGTGATTTTAATTTAATGGAATAATATTTTAGTTAAGTTGTGTATATGTTTAAACAGTGTTTAATATATTTAAATAAAATGAAACTGTTTTAGAATATATCACAAACAAGTCAACATAATATACTCATATAGGCTAGGCCTATATATATATACTTTTTTATACAAACAGTTGTATAATATACTCGCATAAGTCTGCTTAAAATGATCTGTCGGAACTTCTGTTACATCATAAGTTACATTACATTACATTAATTGCCATTAAAAAACCCATACTGGTCGACAAAAGACAAAACATATTTGTTCTTATAGCTTGAATATGTAGTCTTAAATATAACAGTACAGACAATATAACCATAAGAAACTAAGGTGTTTAAAAAATTAATAAATAAACATCTTAAACCAGCCTAAGTTGGTTTGCTGTTGCTGTTCTTAGCTGGCCTCTCTTTTTTTAAATACATAACACAAAGTTTGTCATGAAAACGTCAACCCTTTCAGGACAGTTCCTAATCTCATTTCTGGAGTGAGAATGTCATTTTCCTCCTCATTTTCCTTAAAGTAAATTAGCTTGAGAACATGGCACAAAAATAGACATTCACCTTTTATTTTAAAGTAAACTGTACAAAACCACTGGCAAGGTCAGGCAGTACCAGCACATGGTCCATGAAGTGGTCTAGTGGAGTTAAAAGCAACAAAGTCATTTTGTAAAAAAAAAAAAAAAAAAGGACACTGTACACAGAGGGAATGGGATTTGATGTTAGGAACACTCTTTTCTTAAATCTGCCTAATAAAAGTGGAACAGTTAACAGCAGAGGCCCCGCTGCAGGCCTTCAACAATCCTGTTGTTCACGAGGCTCTTGCTTTACAGTAATATCCTTGCAGGCACAGATCCACAGAGCAGCAAATCCACTGTGTATGCACAAGGATTGTGATAATTCCCCATAGGGGTCATAACTCACCTAGTGAAGTTCTGCTCTGAATGTTTCCAACTCCAAATGTCTCCAAAACAAAGAGAAAGAAAAAGAAAGAAAGAAAGAAAGAAAGAAAGAAAGAAAGAAAGAAAGAAAGAAAGAAAGAAAAAGAAAGAATTAGCTTAAATATTGTTGAAAATATTTTCTTATGATGATAACTCCAATATGAACACCTGTTTGACTGCTGGTGCTGGAGATGCAGCTTTGTGTTGTTCACTGACAGGACTGGATTTGATTTATTCCGCTATATGCAGGATGATTTAATGCATCTCAATGTAAACACATATGTCACTGCATTTTAGTAATATTTATTTATTGTGTCTTTTTTTGCAGAGTAGGATTCTGAACTAAAAATAAACCTAGGCCTATTAAACTAGTTTCTGTTGAAAAAACATGAAATAAGTACAATAATACTAAAATAACACTACATTTTATTCAGTATTTAGAGAATGTGAAGAGACTGATAGAACATGCAAGCGATGTTCCATATTTAGAATTGGTATTTATGAATTAATAGTTCAAACACTATAACTCAGTAATCATTACATTTGTAATAGATCACTGTACACACAGAGTACATTGTACACACACCACACAGAGGCAATGGAAAACTATTAGAAACTACTATCAGATTAAGGATAATATGTCATTCTCTCTTTCTTTTCTGTCTCTCTCTCTCTCTATCTACATGGTCGTTGCCACGCAGAGTTTGGACTGTGTTCTGTAAATTTCCCCTTATTCAGGAAGCCCTCGCTCAGCTCTCAGGCAGTCCTGTGTGAAGATCCTGGGATTTTAACTAACCATGTGTTTAGCTTGGAGGACTGCACTTTTCCACACACAGCCTGGAGAACAGGAATGACGGGATTGGTGGAGGATGAATTCCCCACTAACCATAAAATCCAGAAGATCCTGGTTCCAGCAAATAACCCTGAACAGGATATGAAGTGTTATTTAAATGCATCAAATAAATAAGCTGAATGTAGAAGCAAGCAAACATTTGCCTCACATTGTGTTAAAAGTCACAAATTAATTCTTCAATTGTATATATTACATTAAGCACATCACTGGTAGATCAACATCAGATTCTGACACATTAATAGCCTAGCAGATCTATTAGTAAGTCATCTGATTATAAAACAGATGCTTGCCTTCATGTTTACTCCACAGGCAGATCTTCACAGCAATAAAGAAAGGCATGTGGTCAGGGTAGTCTGTCCAATAGTGCACTACTGGACACTGCAATTAACTTCCATTCCACACATACTGCAAACAAACATCTATCAAGCCAGGTTTCTTTTTCAGTTTTCCTGATTTCAGATAGTGATATCTGCTTAGATGTTGCATATGGATACCAGGGCTGGAGTGGGACTCATTTTTAGCCCTGGAGTTTCATGCCTTAGACCGGCCCACTTATTTTTTTATTTTTTTTACTGGCCTTTTTAAGTGCCGCCTTTGCGCTTTCTATTATCCATTTTTCATCTATTATTTTTTTGCTCGCATATCTCCAACAACTGAGGGTTTTTTGTTGTTGTTGTGAGTCAAAAGATAATTACGTCATCATTAGGGTTGCCAATTAACTTCAGAAATGGAAAATAAGGGACAATTGTGATTCTTTATCTTTTATTCTTTAAGAAAATAGTGTTTATTCTTGTAGAAAATAAGTGTTTGTTCTTTAAGAAAATAAGGGACAGACTAAGGGACGCTCCAAATATTTGTACTGTAGGCAACCATAAGGTATGTCTGCCTGCAGTCACATAGTTCTCAGAAATAATCACAATTGTTTTGCTTAACCTATTTATGTACAATTATTCTAAAAAGAATTTTAATGTCATACAAAAAATGTCATCGGCCTGAGTAAATTGTACCAATATAGAATTGTGACTTCACAAGTGTAGTAATTTAGGAGGTGAAAATACTGTGAAATTACTAATGGCATGAAATTTGAAAGCGTAACAACTGAAGGTCTATGAAACGTCAGTCAATAAAGCATTTTAAACAATGGCATTTAAAGTTTTGAACTAAAAAAATCATTGCAACCATATAGCCTTTGAATGAATGGAAATGCATATTTTTCAATTAAAGAAAACTTAGAGAGTGTGGGCTGCTTCTGGTGCTTGGATTTGTAGCCTACTTCAATAATGAGGTCCAAAAATACGCTAGAAGTAAAAAAAAAAATTTCTCTCTCTCTCTCTATTTAACTGCATTACAGTGAAAGACGTCTTCCCTCAGGTAGATTGAATGTTGGGCTCATGATCAATAAGTTGTTTGCATTCGCCCAAACTGAATCAAAACGCGGACGGTGAAGGGAACTGCAGTCAGCGCAAGACCCGCTCGCTGTGAAGCGGGAGCCAGCAGAGGATTCCGCTTGGTCTTAAAGCATTCCTTAAACGGCTACTTCACAAATAAAACAATGATTTACGCAAAAAGAATGATTAATTATCAATTGAGAATTTGTTATTGATATGGTCTGGTGAAAATAATATGGGCTGCGAGAAAATTATAAATAAAAAGAGTGGGGCTGCTATGAGTGCAGGCAGTCTAGGGACAGTATCACTGATCTATATATAATATCTATTATAGATCAGTGGACAGCATCCATATTTCAACCCCAGTGGCATAACAACACCGCGGCCCTCGCGGCCAAAAAAACTGACCGGCCCACCGGGAATCCTCCCGGTGCTCCCGATAAGCCAATCCGGGCCTGATGGATACCATATAAGACATAAAAAAATACATAAAATCTCAATTAAGGGTGCATTTAGGTCAAAAGATGTAGCATACACCCATGTCTGCATGTTGGCTTACATAACCGCCTAATGGTCACCCTGTGGCTTCCTGTTTGATCGGCATGGAAAAGTTTTTTGCAGTTGGTAGCAGAGGCACAATTGCTGGAGACTTGATGCCTAGTCATTTCTCACTGCCAAAATATTAAACTGAGCTGAATTACTGGCTATTTGATGCAGCTGTTGAGCTTACAAACCATTG